TCAGGACACAGGAAACATTTTCGGGGGGCTGAGCACTGGAGCACAACCCTTCACTCCCTCCTGGATTCTACACTCCCCTATCTAGATTTGTGCATCCTGGAAACATTGTTTCTTCTAGACACGTGCTGTCCAATATGGTAGCCGTTAGCCAACTGTGGTTATTTAGATTTAAATATAAGTTACTTAAAATGAATATACTAAAAAATTCAGTCTCTCAGTTGCAGTAGCTATGCTCAACTGCTCAGTAGCCATGTGTGTCAAGTATATGGCTACTGGATTTGACAGCACACAAATGTAGAAAATTTCTATTATTGCAGAAAGTTCTGTTGGACAGTGATGCTCTAGACTAGTTGGAATCTAGGGGTTGAATTTGTTTAGAAGGAGTAGCAGGGAAGTCTGTAAGTAGTCACAGAGAGTTGACATCTGGGCTACAATTTATTTATCTTTACTTGTCTCTCTTCTTGCTAGAGGCTGAGATGTCCTCTGAGCAAGGATGACCTCATGCATCTTTGTATAGCTAACATTTAATATGTGGGAATGTTTGTTGAGCAAATGAAGGAAGCCTAGATATCAGAATAATTTGCAGGGTGGTTGCAAAGAGTTGGGTGCTGGCATTGTTTACGTTTTTCCTGTCTATATATGATGAAGACAGATCATCATAGAGATGGAGCCAAACTAGATGGTTTCAGGACAAGGAGGGGAGACACAGAAGGACTGAAAACTAGGCAGGGTTGGACACTGTGCAAATTTCTTTAAGTTTATGAGGTGACTGACAGTCTAATCTGTTAAATTAAGTTATTCAAAATGACCCCCTGAGTAAACTATCTTAGGACCTATGCTGAATTTGCACATAGTAGGTGCTTAACTGATATTCGTAGAATGAAGGCATTTCATGGATATTGTATTTATTTGTTTGCTTCTTGTCCTATAGCCCTGCCATCTACTTTTCCACTCCTCAAGCTGACTCCATGAGGGCAGGGCTGTGTCTGTTTTGCTTACTGCTGCATTTTCAACACCTAGAACAGTACCTAATACATCATAGCTCAGTAGATATTTCTGGAATAAATGAAGATTTAATAACTTAAGCCAAAGGACTGCATAAAGGTGGACATTTCAAAGACCATGGCAAGAGAGTGGGAGAAAGTATTTTGGGGACAGGAGATACATTTCTCAGGGCTCTCATATAACCTCTTAAAATGATCCACTGACTTTGCCTATGCACAGGACTAGGCCAGCCCTCAAAACTGATGTGCCTCGATTTGAAATTTAAATCCCCACAGGATTCTAGGCGCATACAAGGCATAATACTAAATGGCTGATAACTTATGACATTTATTTCCCCACATGAAGAACCACAGGGCAGCATCTCTTGTCAGGAAGGAAACAGATTTGTCAGAAAGGAAACCAGCCATCATATGCTCTTTGTATTTTTATGATTTATGTATTTATTGGATGCACCTACCACTTAACAACCTCTGGGCGCTTTTATACATTTTTGTAGACAAAAGGCAGACACTGCCGTTGTGGATTATGAGGTGGAGAGGTACCAACAAAATAACATCCATAAATCCCAAAGCACATCATAAAATCATCAAATGCTACTGAAGCTGTACTTAGGCTTCTCCAAGTAATCAGACATCTATATGGAAAATCCTGAAGTCCCGAGCTTTAGTCCTGGCCCTGGCATGTATTAGATTTCATGGTCTTGTGTAAGCTTCTTATTCTCTCTTAGCTTCATTTTGTTCATCTCTAAAATGGGCATAATAACAATAATTGCCTGATTTACATTGTACAGTTGGAAGATCAAATGCTTATGGCTGTAAATCACACTGAATTTCCCAAATGTAATAGATCAGCATTAAAAAAATTAAACTCCATATCTGCATGAATTTGAATTTCCTTTCTGCTCTCTGTGATATAAGCCTCCAGATGATGTTTTGCCAAGACTCTGTGTTGTGATCTTCCCCAAATGTGATCCAAGATACCTAATTTAGTGGCTTTGGTCACGATCTCTTCCCTGCTTGGAATTTCCTTTCCCAAACATTCTCTATTGTTAAGATCATCCAGAGGAATTTGCATTTAGCCTCTGGATTCATACCTCAACTAAGAGATACAAGACAAATAACCACCTCCATGAAACAAAAATTTCTTCCTCTTGGCTCTGGTTGAATGAAACTCTGAGGAACATGGCCGGTATACGGAGAGAATACCAAGCTGAGCATTCCAGTTTCTAAATTTGTTTTCTGTCTCTGGTCACAGAATTTAATCACTTTAGCCTTAGTTTCTTTATCTGGAAAATGGCAGCTCAGTGGCAATTGAGGTTGATTAGATAATTTGAAGTCTTCTTTATTTCTAATACTCTTTATTTTTTTATTTTTTATTATTTTTTTTATTTCAGCATATTGTGGGGGTACAAATGTTAAGGTTACGTATATTGCCCATGCCCCCCCTCCCACCCACCCAACACCCAATAAATGTTATTCCTATATGTCCACTTAAGTGTTGATCCGTTAATACCAATTTGCTGGTGAGTACATGTGGTGCTTGTTTTTCCATTCTTGAGATACATCACTTAGTAGAATGGGTTCCAGCTCTATCCAGGAATATACAAGAGGTGCTATATCACCACTGTTTCTTAAAACTGAGCAGTATTCCATGGTATATATATGCTACATTTTATTAATCCACTCATGTATTGATGGGCAATACATCCTGGGCTGTTTCCACAGCTTTGCAATTGTGAACTGTGCTGCCATAAACATTCGAGTGCAGGTTTCCTATTTGTAGAGTGTCATTTGATCTTTTGGGTAGATGCCCAGTAGTGAAATTACTGGATCAAATGGTAGATCTTACTCTTAATTCTGCCTTTTAAAAAAAGCAAAACTCAATTCCTTTGTTATGCCAGACTATTGGCAACATAACTACCTATTTTTTAGTTTTTAGTGGAATTGGATACACTTCTCAGAGACCAACTTGTTCTATCACTTAGACAATTTTAAGAGACTCCAACAGGTCTTCCTGCTGGTACTCTTGCCCCTCACGGACAGGTCACCACACACACAACTGTTCCCCTTTATAATAAACATCTCCGAAGAGTTAACTGTATTGTACCCACTATTCTCGCCTCCCTCTCTAGCCATGCTCTAATCTCCACCACTCCACTGAAGCTTTCCCCTCAAGGGTACAATGACCGCCATCTTGTTGAAGTCAATGACTGGTAATCAGACCACATCTTACTCAAGTTGTCAGCAGCACTTTTCATAGTTGACTCCATCCTTGCCCTTGAAACACCGTCTTCACACCACCTATGCTTTGCAAGTCCCTTCTACCTCACTGCCTCCCCCTTCTCAGACCTGTGAGCTGGTTCTGGGGCTCTTCCCTTTTCTCTCCTCTTCACTCCCTAGTTTGAAGAATCCAGTCCCATGGCTTTAAACGTCATCTCTACACTAATGACTGGCAAATTTATATTTCCAAACTCAATGTCTCTTCTGAGTTCCAGACTCATATAATTACCCTCTGTATAGATCCACTTGGATGTCTAATGGGCACCTCTCATTTAACACGGCCAGAACTCTTGACTTCCCTTTCACATCTTCCTCATGTTTCCTGTCTCAGAATACATCACCACCACTCACCCAGTGGTTTAATCCCCAAACCTAGGAATCATCCTTCAGTGCTCCTTTCTTCATATCCCTAAATTTCACATCGTCATCGACAAGTCCTGTTGGCTCTACTTTCAAAGTTTTTACCCTCCATCAGAGATTAAGAAATACTTCTTGTTTTAATATCTTTCAATCTGTATCATACCAGGATCAGTAGCTACAGTGACTGGGAAGCAGACAGGAGCTGTCAGTATAAAGAATTTATTCCAGGGAATTTCAAGGTGAAACACTTTTATGTTTTGGGGCAATGCAAAGCACACTCATCCTATCATGCAGATGTGGATATGATGGTGATGGCAGGAGGAGAAGTGGGACGTCATTCTTCTCTTTGCTACATCCAGGGCTGGTGTGGCAGTATCATTTTCATTGTAGAGGGTCTCAGAAGTTTCGAAATAGTCACCAGTTCAAAGGTTGGATTACAGAAGAGCAGCGTTCATGGTGTGCTTGGGGTGGCCAGGGACAGTTTCATGGAAACGGTGGGACTTGAATTAGCCTTCATGTATGAATCAGGGTCAATTAAATACAGAGGAAAAGAAGAGCATTCCAGGGAGAGAGGAGTTCTGGGGACAAAAGTACAGTATGTGAGAATGCACAAGTTATATTTGGGTAGCCCTTGGGGAAAACAGGAAATCTAGAGGATAGGTTTAAATAAGTTATAGGTGAAAATATTCACACTGTAGATTTCATTTTTTAACTTAATGTTTATGGAACATATACAAGCACTGTACTGTTTACATGCACTACTTTATTTATGACACCTTCTCTATGATGTGGGTACTGTTTCTAATCTCATTTTGCACATGGGGCTACAGTAGCACAGGGAGGTAAAGAATCTTGCCTAAGATTACGCAGCCAGGGCTGGAACTGTGTTGCAAACCTGGGACCTGCTCATGACCGTGCCTCTGTGCCGCCCCTTGAAGCCATTTTATCGAATAATATTAATAGTAAGAGTGTAGAGAGAGCAGATCTTTCAGATATTCAGAAAGCACTTTTTTTTTTTTTGCCTTTAATATTTCTAGAAGGAGACAAGCTTTGATTATCTTTAGAAATGGGAGTTTGGTGCAAGGTGACCCTCAGTGAACAGGACATTCTGGGTTCTGCTACTTTCCAAACTGAGCTGTATGGTGGGCCCCATGGAAACCTGACAGTGAGCTCCAGTTGCCTCATAGATGAGTCATCCCTTCCAGGAGACAGGATTTAAATGGGCCATTTGTCACCACCCTGCATGAGGTGGCTGCTGGGTGGGGTTTCATGTCAAGCCAATTGGAGGCATTTTTTACTTTGTTTACATTCCATCTGTAACATAGATTCTTGGTCAATTGGTTTCTGTCTACACAGGCACCAGAGTAACTTCATGACAGCAGTCGCAAAGTCAGCGCCCACAGGGGCCAACAGCTAACATAAATGTCTCAAGGAGGCCAGATGGAGACCGTGGGGACTGTTTGAGGAGGTGGATGCTACGCAGCTTCGCCTGATTTCCACGAGAAAATAGAGGGTCAGATGATCTTCAAGAGATGCAAAAATCCCGAAGGAGTTTAAATACTGGCAACTAATTAAAATGAAAAAAGCAACAGCATTGTTTGGGCCAAAGAAAATAGACCAGTTTGCCACTGTTGTCTCTAAAGCATGCCTCTTTAGTATTGGGAGATATCTGGCTTTTCAGAAACAGCTTTGGGATTAGTTTCTCCAGGAGACTTCTTAATGGGGCATTGAAGAGTGACTTAGTGATCAAGTTGGTTTGCTCCTGGTGACCAGGTCTGATGCATCCAAAACCTTCCCCGTCTTAAAGCCCACCAATTCTCCTGCATCCTTCACTCCACTGAACTCCTGAACACTTCTCTGAGGATGTTTGGGGAGTCCAGAATCGATGACCTAGCAGTGTGTTTCATGAACACCACATCCAGAATGAATCACCCTTCACTTGCTTTAACAGATCAGTCTTCAGGGGAAGCTGATTGCTCTCCTATCCATATCATACTTTGATTCATTTACACTTAAGTGATGAAAGTGGTCTTTTTCCCTCTTTCCTTAAATGGATACTAACCCAGGAGGGGCTTGGGGAGTTGTAAAGGGGAGTGCTGACTCCTTGGACACACTCTTGGTTGCATTCTCAAGCGGCCCACTCAATTAGGGGTAATATTTCATTGACTTGTGTGCCTGATGGCTCCCCAGCCAGCAGTGTTTTCTAAATGGTCCTGAGGCAAGACTTGGGGCTTTGAAAACAGCCCTTCATCACCTTTATGTCTGGGGCTGCATTGGCACAGCCCAGACTGAAGCGGTTATTTCCATCAGGGAAGCAGCCATAGTCTCTGCCTGGGTTGTCTTGACTTGGCTGGCTTCACTTGTCAAAAGAATGGGTATTCCGACACTATCTGGGGCTGGGTTCATGCAGCTTCCTTATCTTGCATGTTGAATCGGACCACTCAGGTACCTGTCTGAATTTTCTATAAGGGAAAAAAAATTGGTTGGAAAAAAAATCAGGCTGTTTGCATTTTTTTCTTGGGCCTGCACAGAAAGTGTGGATCTGCTCATGACCGTGCCGCTGTGCCACCCCTTGAAGCCATTTTATCGAATAATATTAATAGTCAGAGTGTAGAGAGAGCAGATCTTTCAGATATTCAGAAGGCACTTTTTTTTTGCCTTTAATATTTCTAGAAGGAGACAAGCTTTGATTATCTTCAGAAATAGGAGTGATTGGATAAGCGGTCTTATATATCTAGAAGGCTCTATGTCAGGGAATGCTCCAAATTGGTCTTAGCTTAAAGTGTGAAACAAACAGTTACTTGATTGGTATTTACATCAATAGCACAACTTTTGTTAGAGAAGTTTAACACTATGGAATGATGTGTGTTTCTATGTCTGTGTGCTGTACTTTCTGGGTGTTATGGTCAATGTTGAGAGTGACTGGAGGAATGCATGATGTCAATGACCTTCTACTCCATCTAATTATAAAACTGGCTTGATCTGAATCTGCATGAAGTAATTGATTGAGCTCAGTGATAAAATGTTCTCAGTAGATAAATCTCAAACTTCCTTTTATGGCTACACCTTCGTCTTTGAGTTAGTGGCTGGGTATAATTTGTGGCAAACACAGAGTTTGGAAAGTAGCTGCCCATTTGAGGAGTATGGAAGATTATATGTCAGCCTTGTGAGGGTAGGAAGTACAACAATAATATCTAAAATAAATCGAGGATACTATGTGCAGACATCTTCCTGATGATGTTGACGCACTTTACACTGGTGAACTCATTTAATCCTCACAGCAACCCTAGGAGGTGGTTGCTAATATTATGATTATTTTAGGGATGAGAAAACTAAGGCATGGAAGGGTAAGTCACTTGCTCAAGGCCACTAGAAGTAGCAAAGCTTAGATTTTTAAAACAGGTAACCTAGTTCTAGAGTGTGTTTCCCTACCTGCCTTGTAGTCAGCCATGCATTTCTTGTTCCACTGTTGGATTTCAGGGTCTTGCTTGTATAGTACTTGGCACCCAGTTGATGGGTTGGGTAAAAGCCCTTTAAAAGACATGAGTTTCTTTATAAATGTCAGTTTTTATTATTACTGTTGATGCTACTATTAATAGCAATAGCTACCATGTATTGGGCTCTTTCTGTGTGCCAGGCACCAAGATACACTTAAGCATGCATTTTTTTGTTTCCTCCAAAGAACAATTCCATTTGACACACGGGAACATTGAGGCATTGAGCAGGTAGTTATTTACATTTAGAAGATATCATGCTAGAGAACAGCGGAGGCAGAACTTAGAAGTCTGTTCTTATTCCACAGCTCATTGCCCTGACCTCAAGGCAATAAAATGTCATTGCTAGGAAAGCTCCCGTTTCCTTATTCCATCAAAACATACTCTTTTGGGGGGTTTTCTTCAGATAAAAACTAAGCAAAACCACAATGACAATAATAAGCAGAAAATAGAGTTTGAGATACGTTCAAATGACGAATATTTATTGCATAATAAAAAAGTCTTGTGCCAAATGGCCTGGGGACAGTGTTCTCCAACACTTCAGGCTCCGTACATGATCTTCATGATTTTTTACCTCATCTAAATTCCATGTGAGCTCTTAATATTCTTCTATATTAATTCACTTTTGAAAACAAAAGTATATTTATATTTTACAGTCATGATATTTTGAGGATTTCTTTATCTATTTCTAGGACACATTAAGAGTAACATCATCATTACTAAACAAAAAAGTAAGTATGTAGTAATGTTTACTATTTACTAATGTTTTCTCTTTAGAAAATATCTATGCACTGCCACCTAAAGTCACCTTTCACACCTCTCCTAGGTCACCTATAACTCCATGGGAAACACAGGGGTATGAAGATGCACAAAAACTGCCCCCTATTTGGAAAATAAGCCAACCCCAGGCTCATCCATGAAGCAGAAAATAGTTTGGGAGGTAGGGGAAGGAACCATGCATGCTCCTAATAGTTGCCACCCACTGTCTCTCAAGAAGCTCTCTCACTCCGAGGGAAGCTAGATATGTGACACAGTGATGGTCCAGGTAGCAAGGAAGTAGCTCATGGGCTGGACAGTAGAGCTTCCTGCAGGAACTTTCTTTGGAGGACGGGCAGGGCTAGTTGGGGGGGCGGGGAGAGGTGCTGTCTGGTAGCTGATTTTCAATTCCTACCAGGCTCCTCCAGGGTATGCAACTCCAAGCCAGGGTCACAAATCAGATCTGAATGCGGGTCTTAAGGGCAAAGGGATCAGATTTCAGATCATCTCACCTCTAAGTTACACTAAAAGCGACCTTTTTCACTTTTGCCATGTTTTCTTAAGTCTATAGCGCCTATCATCTGTTTTCAATTTCGTGAAGAGTAGTAACGGAAAAAAAAAATCTAATCCGGTTTTTCAAAACACTTAATTTTTTTAAGAAAAAAGTAGTCTCTTTTTTTTCATTTTAGTACTTCAGTGCTTAACAAATGGTATTTACTTACCAACACAGTCTCTGCAATTTCCCGCTCTGATAATGCATCTGTTTTCTCCCGTCCATTCTAACACTTGCTGTCGTCTTGTGTTAGCTATTAAAGATTGAGAGGAGTTAAAGATGTAAGCCAAAGCAGGTAATTTCCTGAAGGGAAGAAATGTACCTTAAATGATTTCTCTTTGTTCGATCTTTTTATTCTCCTTTCATTTGGCTTTCTGAAAAAAAAAAAAAAAAAAAAGGGAAAAAAATGGGTGACGAATGTCTTTTGTATCCAAAGAGGTGACAGGAAACCTCTGAAAGCAGGATTTTTTTTTTAAACCCTAATTTCCTAGAACCAGAGTTGGAGCCGGCCTTTTAGCACTATTGCACATTAATGTAGTTTCCCCTCCCATAGGGAAGCTGAGGCCCAAGTGGCAGTCATTACTGCCAACAGCAGGGCTGCCCGATAGATTCCTGGAAGGGCTCACTTAAAAGATTCAGCCAGATCATCTCCAGGGGCTTCCAGTTCCCATCATCCCAGGAATGAAATATTCAGTATCATCTTTCTGCACCTGAGGCTGCCATGGATTAGATTCTTGCTGCCTCCATTACTGCAGCAGCCAAGAGCTTGGGCGGTAGTGATTGGTTATGAAGTGCTTACTGGCTGCATTTGGCTAAGAAAAGGCATGGAAAAGAACAGGCTAGAGCCACAGTCCCTACTGCTGGTCATGAGTTGGAGAACAGAGATGCTGTAGCTCGGGTAGAATTAGTTGAAGGGCCTCCCCAACTCACCCTGGACGAACATAGCATAATTTGAAACCACACTCCCTGTGACCTGTAGTCACTCACAGTGACAACAAGCCTGAACCAATGGTGCTACACGATTGGGTCTTAACCTGGATAAGTTCACATTACTTCTTCCTTTCCTGTTTGCTCCTCAATAGATTTCCCCAAACCGTGGGGTTCAGTCCTCTGCTTTTCACTCTATTCTCTCTTTTTATGTAAACTCCCATCAAATGTGAACCATGGGAACGAGTCCCAAATCAACTACTTTGGTGCGATTATCTACTTGGTTCATATTAACTCCTTAATAAATAATTAATGAATGGTTGAATGAATGAGTGAATTCAACTCATGAATGTACCCACTCACTCACTCACTCATGAATGTCATTTCCTCCAAGTTCTAGACTTACATTTCCAGCTGCCTGTAGAACGTCTCTTCCCGGGTGTCTGTGGTAGGCTGAATAATGCCCCCTCCCAATAGGCCAATGTCTTAATCCCTGGAACCTGTGAATGTCACCTTATATGGCAAAAAGTACTTTGCAGATGTGATGACATTAAGGGTCTTGAGGTGGGGAGATTATCAAGGATTATCTGGGTGGGCCTGGTGTGATCACAGATGTCCTTTTTTTTTTTTTTTTTTTTTGAGACAGAGTCTCGCTGTGTTGCCCAGGCTAGAGCGAGTGCCATGGCATCAGCCTAGCTCACAGCAACCTCAAACTCCTGGGCTTAAGCGATCCTCCTGCCTCAGCCTCCCGAGTAGCTGGGACTACAGGCATGCACCACCATGCCCGGCTAATTTTTTCTATATATATTAGTTGACCAATTAATTTCTTTCTGTTTATATTAGAGATGGGGGTCTCACTCTTGCTCAGGCTGGTTTTGAACTCCTGACCTTGAGCAATCCGCCTGCCTCGGCCTCCCAGAGTGCTAGGATTACAGGATTACAGGCGTGAGCCACCGCGCCCGGCCCAAATGTCCTTCTAAGATGGACACAGAACTGTGTGATGACAAACGCAGAGACTAGAGCGCTGTGGTCCAAGCCAGGAATTGCCAGCAGCATCCAGAGTCTAGAAGAGGCAAGGGATGGATTCTCCCCTGGAGCCTCCAGAAGGAACCACACCTGTCAACACCTTGATTTCATCCTCTCAAGACTCAATTTGGACTTCTGATCTCTAGAACTGCAAGAAATTAATTTTGCGTGGCTTAAAGCCATTAACTTTGTGATCATTTGTCACAGCAGCAGTAGGAAACTAATACAATGCCTTGTGAGAGCTCTAACAACATACCTGCACAGATTCACTGTCTTCTTTCCCAGATCCTGCCCTTCAGCCTCAGCTAGTGGCTGGCTCATCCTCACAGTATCAAGCCAGGGAAATCATTGCCTCTTTTGTCTTTTCCCCTTGTCCCTACCCTTTCAGTCAAGACTGCTGGCTTCTGCTCCTTCTACACCTGCAATGTTTCTCAAATCTATTTCATTCGTGGCCATGACAACATCCCTAGTAGCTAGAACACCACCTGGTGTCTTGTAGGTTCTCACTAAATGTTTGTTGAGTGAATGTGAGTTGCTACTCTCTGATTCCATTCAATGTTCTTTCCGTGGTGTATAATTTCCATTATGGAATCTCTGAGGGTGTCGCTGTGTCTTTCCGGGTACCCTGTGCAGGTCTGGAGCACACAGTCACCCACACGTGCTGAACCAATACGTGGACTTACTCCTTGTCACCATCCAATCGTTGGAAAATGTCAGGCAGTGGCGATGAGCACCAGTTAGGGAGTCGGATGGAATTGGGTTTGTGCCCAGGCTCTATAATTATCTAGTTGTATAATTCTTTCTGGCAAGATGCTAATCTTTTCAAACCATAGTTTCCTCCATCAAAAAATGGGGAAAACAATGGCACTTGTCTTTTGTGCTGTCGAGAGGAACACACTGGAGTCCGGCTCAGGGAACGGATGGTGGATGAGTAGGAACTCCTATTGCTATTTTCCCATAGACAGGGGGACGCCCACATCCGGGTCTCTCTGTGAGCCAGTGGCTGGAGTGTGGTCGCATGTGCACGTGGAGGGCATGCAGAGGCATTGGCAGAAAAGGAGGGCAAAGAATGGGGGTGGGCAAGGCGGAGAGGCAGGCATTCTGCATTCAATAACTGAATACAACTTGGAAACACTCGCCTCGTGTAGCCCTCAGCTGCCTGTGAAATTCATCTGAATCTTGTTCCGTTGGCCTATGGGGTATTTTCAAATACAAATTAGGTTGGCCAGAATTCCTTTTCTCCACCAACTCTCCTGGGTGCAACTCAGAGGTTATTAAGATGCCTAATAAAAGGAGAGAGCACATTTAATAACATTACCATCAGCTCCACGGAGCTGAGCTATGTGGGCCCGCGGTGCCCCGGAGCCCCCGGCCTCCCCCACTGGCACACTTGCATAGGCGATTCCCTATAATTATCCACATTTTAAAAACACCATTAAATCCATCGAGGCAGTCACGTCCCACTTGCCGGGCCTTTCTGCCTACATCGCTGGGGAGGACCTGGCTTCTTTTGGTGGGAGGGAATGAATGGAGGTTCTTGGGCTACAGCGATGGCTGGTTAAACTCACAACGTGGCAGATCTGCTAAGCGCCATTGTCATTCCTGCAGGGCCTCTTCCTCCCGCTATGTCACGCATCTATCTAGCAAACCTTTAGCGAGCACTCGCCAAGCTTCAGCGCTGTATGGCCACGTCTCGTGCAGGATTCCATTTAATCCTCACAAGGACTCGTTTAGTAGATCAGTGGTTCTCAGCTGGCACCGTGCCTGGAGGCATTTGGCAATGTCTGGAGATGTCTTTGGTTGTCGCAGCTGGGGTGGGGAGGTGCTGTGGGCATCCAGTGGGTAGAGGCCAGGGATGCTGCTAAATGCCTTATAGCACCAGGCAGCCCTCACCATGGAGAATCGTCTGGCCTGATTGTCAATAGTTCTGAGGTTGAGCCACCCTGCAGTTGGTGCTACTCCTCTCCTTGTTTGCAAATGAGGAAACCAAGGCCCAGAGAGGTTGCAGCACTTATCTGGTGTCACACAGCCGGTCAGGGGTGGAGCCAGCAGAGCCTGAGTGTCTGTACTGCCTGCACCTGCACTGCCTCCCTGTGTCTCTCACTCTGCACCCATCCTTTGCAGCCGAGCTCCTCCCTGCCTCTGCCCCAGGCCAGCTGCCGGCCCGTCAGGAGCCAATCACAATTATACTTCCTGGGTGTAATATGATGTTTGCTCCAGTGGGAGATATTTCCCATAAAGCAGATTCCTTTGAGGGATATAAAATTGTCACACATTTTGAATAAATCAGTAACCTGCGCAAGAATGGAGTCTACATTGAGCTTTGATCTACATGAAATGTGAACAAAGTGCTCTTTTCCAAGCACCTAATGTCTGTGTGCAGTTGCAGAGACATTTCACTTTAAATAAAGAAGAGCCTGTAGTGGCTTTAGAGGCAGTGCTCTGTGGGAGGAGCATTTGGTGACCCAAACAGAGAAGGTGAAGTGTACTGGAAATGGCAGTGATGTGATCTGGAATCAGGAGCCCTGCCTTGCTCAACCTCAGGGCCTTTGCACAGCCGTTCCCAATCTCAGGAACACTTTTCCTTTCCTTCTTCTCCTGGCTCGTTCCTTTTCCTTTTTCAGGTCTCACTACAAAAATTGTCTCCTGTTGGGAGGCTTTTTCCAGATCTTGATTAGGCTCCTCCTCTGTGCTTCCTTACATGCTAAATCTTTCAGATCAGTTCTGTCCAAAAGGAATATAATAAACTGCATATTTAAATTTAAAATTGCATGGAATTTTAAATTTTCTGGTAGCTGTGTTATAAAAAAAATTAAATAAGGGACAGGTGAAATTGATTTTAATAATCTATTTTATTTAACCCTGCATACCCTCCATATTAACATTTCATTATGTGATCAATACAAAAATTATGAATGAGATATTTTACATTTTTTTGAACAAAGTCTTTGGAATCTGGTGTGTGTTTTACATTTACAGCTCCTCTAGGTTTAGATGCTAAATGTTTTTGATGGCTAACGTGAAATATTTTGTCATACCAAAACAACAAAGCTGCATTTAATAGAAAAATATTTTATACTGTTTTGAATTATAAGTTTGAATTTTAATGAATTAAAATTAAATTTAAAATTCAGTTCCTTGTTTTCACAAGCCACATTTTGACTGCTCAATATCCACATGTTCCAGATTATTATAAATTACGTTAAATTGGAACTGCCTGTTAACTTGTCTTTTAAACTCTTCTTAGATCATAACCTCATTGAGGTCAAGGATTATGTCTTGTTCACTGTATTTGCCAGCTTGTGGCACGTATTTTGGCATACAGCAGACACTCAATAAATCCCTGTTGAATGGTACGAGATAATAGTTTTAATCCTGGCTTTGCCATTCATTGAATTACTGTGTAACC